CCCAGCTTTGGATTCGGTTCCTGAACCTGGTTGACCACATTGAGGAACCCAGTTTCGAATCTTGGCTCGTCCCATTTCTTACAATTTTCAATAAATAACTCAATTTACTTTATTTATACATTTTTTTCATATTTTCTGAAACTATTTTAAGCACAGCTAAAATTAATTCAATTTGAGCTTCGGCTTAAAGTTAACAAAAGCGTCAAATTACGAGTTCAAATAGGTTTGTTCATTTTTTAAAACTGGTTCATTTAAATCTTCAGAGTACCTCAAATATCGACTGCACTTTACAATAAATGTTGTTACTATATTATTATATACTCAAAAATTAAATTTTCTAAAAACAAGAAGAGAAAAGGTTTGCCTGCTTTATGCCTACTGACTGGGCCTAAGACTGAGTTCCAAGCAGAGTTACAAATTAGTTCCGTTCCGGTTCCGAACCGCTTTACAGCCTTGCATTATGTCTTTACGAACGAAAGACTTGTCATTCTTAATAAACTCATGGTTAACCATATATATATTTAAGCTATAATCTAGGCTAAGCTTTAGTGCACTGCAGAGTGTATTAGAAAATCCGAATACCCTTTAATGGCAACCACTCGCAACGTAGCGCAAGTTTGTTTTTCCCTGGCCATAAAGTGGTCAGAATTAATGGCAAAATGGCGTCAGCTTGTTTTGTTTTTTTTTTTCCTTTTTTTTTTTGTTATGCTTTTTGCTTGTTGCATACAAAAAAGCTTGCGGCATTGAAGGCCGGCCCAGGCCCAAAAGACAATGCAGCCGAAAACAGACAGCATTGCATATGTATGTGTTTTTGGTTGTGTGAGCGTGTGTGTGGTCTATGCGACACGTGTGCAAATTGTGCCCCAAAGTGTAATTTGCTATGTCACTTCCGGTCTGCCGCGACAGGATAAACCAACAGTACGAAACAAAAACTGGTTTTGATATTCAGTTAGATACCCTGCGACATGCTTCCAATAATTTAAATAGCTTATATACTATATAATTCATAAACAAAATTGTGGCATATATAAATTTAAGGCAAAGCTGTGCAGCTTGTAAAACGTTTGCGAATGCGACACAAAGAAGAAGAGACATTACAGCTGCTCTCGCGAGAGAGCAAAAGCATGAACACACTCTGTATGCACATAAGTTTGTATGTATGTGTGTGTGTGTATGCATGTATTTACCTTTTCTATTTTGACCAATTGATTATTTTTACACAGCGCAATTGCGCTTTAGCCCTGCTCTCAGCGAGCGTTATGAGCCCAGTTTTTGTTTTAATGAAATATTAAAAAAAGGGCACATCAGGTGCAGTTTTAAAGCTTTATTTCGGAAAAGCTTTAACGATGCACAGCACAACACGCGCACACACACACACACACACACACATCTGTAGGCAGTCTGGAGAGCAAATGCAATTTTTTTTTGCAATTCTGAAGGCCAATCGACAATCAGAATAGTCCTCAGAGTGCTATTTGGGATTGAATCCCTTAACTCGTTCTGTGTGTGTGTGCCATTAGCTATGGCCATAGAAGAGTTAGTGGACGGTCGGGGGAGCGACAAGTGACCTCGAGCTGAATCCTGTGTGGGCTTTAACCACGCACTAGGTAACTTTTTTTTTTTTTAGCAGGTGTCACGTTTTATTTTTAGCTTCAGCTTCGGAAAAGGTATTCAATCGCTGAAACGATTGTGGGTAAATTCTGTTTGATATGCATGTTTATGAGCCTAACACAGCGCATACATGTTCAAATATTAATGCCAACAATCGTCATAAATAATTAAGGGACACACACACACACACACATGCACGCATCGCTCCTGTGGTTGGGAGTTGGAGTGCGGTCCTGTTCGCTGTGTTTGGCTGTTTGGCTTTTGTGTCTGGGGCATGTCAATTAACTTGTTCCCGTTGCAAAGCCAACATGATAAACACATTTGTCAATGCCACGAGGCAGCTAACAAACAATACAAAATCCACTCTGAATACAATGAGCAAAAAAACAAAAACAAGTGTAAGCAAATAGGCCTCTTACCGTGTTCAAATTGAATGCGCAAAAAAAATCCTTCGTTTGCATCGAATTTTATTTTGCTTACAGTTTTGGGCGCCAAGTTGTTGAAACAATGCACAAAATATATATAATTGGATATGCTTGGAAAGCTGTAGAATATGTGTATTTATTAAACAAAGCGCGCAGGGCAGTACAAAAACAAAACACCGGCAGCACAATTTTATTTGGCCTCACTTAAATAAAAATCAACCAAAATGTAGACGACTGTTTTATATATTATTATTATTCTTATTATTATTTGATGCACAAACGCGAACAAAATGCGACTAGTTAGCACGAAGGATAAACTCGTTCTGCTCATCGAGTCGCCCAACTGGCAGCTGACCAAGCAGGAGAGAGCTTCTGTTTTCTATTCTCGCAAAAGCTGCGCGTGAAAGCTTTGCTATTGTCCTGTGTCAGAATTTGTGCAGCGAAATTCCAAGGGAAGTTGCACAGGGTTGGGGCTATCGAGGGAGATCCAGAAATACTGAGAGCAATAGCCGGTAGTATGGGCCACCAACCCCCTGGCACACACACACACGCATACACCCCACAAAACATCATCTGCCAAGACGCATATCAACAATAATTTTGTTTTGTTCCGGCTAGTGTGTGAGTGTGCAACGCTCTATGCTAGATAAACAAAATATTAGGGGTGTGCAAAGAAATCTTAGGGTGTTGGATGCTGTAATGTGCGCTACTTAAAGAGCCCTTGTCATTTCAGCAGCAGCTTGACACCAATGTAACTCTCTAATGAACCAAAAGTTACCATTAAACATTTTATTTGCTAGCTCTAGAAAAAAAAACAATGTTTACAGATTTTGCGATAGCCTAAGAACTTTGGGTTCGCAATGGGTTGTTCGTTAGTCGAACCTAAATATTTACAAAGTAAACTTAATATAAAAGCAAAACTTATGAATATTACTTTTAATACGTATTTAGCTATTGGGCTCTTATAAATATTTAATTTAAATTTAAATAAACTTAAAAGTATTTTTTATCATTTCGAACAAAAATCAATTACTTCATTGCCTTCCATATCCTGATTTTTGGGCGTATCGTCTGGTTCCAGTAATTCGCCATCAAAACTACAAAGAATAAGTAGATTATTAAATAACAAACGTATTTATAGTAATAATAATAGTATGCCTACAACAACTTGAAACCCTGAACATCGCATTCCATTTCTTCTGCGCACTTGATGTATAAAATCTTGAAAGTTTCCGTTTTTTTCATTGGTATTATCAACGGTTGCTTCCACTTATCGCATTGCACTTTTAACTGAAATTTCTTAGGTTTACACATAAGATTTGTATCTTGCTTGGGTTCAGTTTTATTTTTATTCGATTTTATAGCGCGACCACCTATAAAAATAAATGTAATCACCAAATAAAAGCTAAATTCATATGTAAATTAAATTCTGTACTCACTCAATATGTGATAGACTTTCACGCCCACGCTTATCGGTGACTCCGTTGGGCTTATAAAAAGATCATCCATGTTTATAACAATATCATCTACAGGTACGACGTTGCGTTTCGAAACTTCCTTGAACATGTGCGCAAACTTTTGATGTTGCCTCAGCTTATACAATTGCATTTCACCAAGCCTGAAAAGAATTTTGATTAAGCTATGTTTTAAGTATGGGTTTCATATAAGTGCACACCAATTCAAATTGATCTCAATGATTGGATTATCATCATCAAAACTATTAACGGCTTTAGCTGACTCTTCTGCCAGGGCCGAGTGTGAATCCTCCTCGTCCGAGTCTAGGTTTACCTTCAGTTTCAAGAGATGTTATGTTAATATCTACTCGAATATAGTAAAACTGTTGATTTACTTACAAAGCCCTCAATGCGTGGGAAAACAGCTGAAACAAGATCAATGGAATCCACAATACGTGATCGGGCTGCAAACTCAGCTGTCTGCTGACGACTTCTACTGGACGCAGGTATATTTACTGTCTCCGAGTTTCTTGTTTTTGCAGCCACTGTGCTCTTTTTGCCACGAACATTTCGTTTCTTTGGGGGAGAGACCTTTACAGCTACTGGAGCTTCTTGATCATTATCTTGTTCGGGTGTGGGCAGACGTTTACCCAGCGATGAGCGCGTGCGCCTGGCAACTGGCAAAGCATCAGTTGCTTTGGCGTTAGTTTTGTCTTGCCTTTGCTCCATTTCATAAATCAATTGCGAGACAGGTGACAGAGCAGCACGTGTAGCAGGCGCCGGCGCCTCCTCCATTTCATTATTGTTGGATTCCTCCTCATCTGTTTGCTTTTTTCGATTGCCTGCTCTCGCCTTGGACTTGGGCTTTGTGACTTTTGCTGGTTTCTTGATGAAATGATCGCTTTTAATAAAATCGTAGTCCGTTTGCCTGGACTCTTGGTCCTCCACAAACTGTTTTTGAGGAGCAGCTGCAAGTCGAATTATTCAGTTTTGTTAAAAAATTACGCCAAATATGCTGCTAAAAATTTTGCACTTACCATTTAACCGTTTTACAGGCAAATTAAAAATATCACAATCATCGTCGGACATTTTGGGTTTAAAGGGTGCGTAACCGCTAAAATTAAATTCTTTGACGTGCTCTGGCTGGAAAACTCCTGAAAACCCTTAAGAATAAAACCAATACCGCCAAAAAGAAAACTGAGAGACGCTGCTGAAAATAAATATTATATCTATCGACTATTGATAACTTAACAGCTGTTGCTCTCAGCAGTGTTGCTGTTGCTGTCAGTGTGTACACACCAATATAATAAAACGCAGTATTAAAGTTCTTGATTTAAAATACTTAAAACCTGCATGAAAAAGGACTATTTAAAATTCTTATATCTAAAAGCATATATATTTTTAAATTTCAAAAGGCTTCTGATTACAACATCGAAATTAGGTTTTGAAAACTTCAACTTCATCGACTTGAAATGGTATAGCTGGATCCAAACCAAAATTCATTTTTATAATATCACAGAACACAGATAAAAATATGAAGGCATCCACAAAATGATTGACTGTATAAAGTATTGAACGATTCTGCGACTTGGCAATGCTGACAAGAGATTGAACAACTAGTAAAACTCCTGCAGCCACCTGCATATAAAAAGTAAACAAAAATAACGATATTTATATACCGTTTTTATTTGTTAGAAATCTTACAAAATATGATTAATGCTGTTTTACAAATTACTAATCATCTTAATTTTTAAGTCTACTTTGTACTATAACTACGGTACTTTAGCATGCTGATCGATGAGCCTAAGAGGCTGTGACGAATACTCGATGCCGAAACCAGATATTATAACATTCACAACTGATATTACAAAGATGACCACCAATATGACATCGTTCAATATTATTGCTGCCGTCTGGTCTTGCTGCTTGTTAATATTCAGACTGCCGATGGCCACAAACATAATTCCGACCAATAGCTGTTCAAATGAAAATTGAAATTGTTTTTAGAGAGCAGCGAATGTTCCCACGGATCGGATCAGTTATTAATTTGATATAGTTTCGTAAGCTCTAGATATACAATTTTAATTGACATCGTTCAAAAGATTGCCCTGTGGCGGGGGCAGGCGACTATCAAAAGCCGATATGAAAAGATTTATCATTGTGGTAAAAAACGCAAAACCGGTGCGCACATGATTGATCACATTGGCCGATTGATGGAACTCTGGCTGATGCATTCGGCAATCCCGCAATAAACTGAGAGACAGGCTTAATACGCCCGACAGTATCTATGACATTGGAGAACGAGCCGTTACAACCCCAAAGCCAAGGAAATCAAATAGAAATTGACTATTTACCTGCATAACAATTGACAAGCTAATAAGTATAAGCATTAGCTTGTAGAATTGATGCTGTTCCCCGACCTGAAGTATATATTTCAACTGAGATGCGTTTGCCGTCAGCAAAGCTATATCCAGCATGCCCTGGGCTATAGTTTTTTTGGTCGCATAGCGATTGGCATCCATGGCTTTCATCTGAAAATATGCATCAAAAACAATAGACAGGTTAGTTCCAATAATTCGAAATCAAATTCTCAATACATTTACACACTGATGATGCCATCTTTAGAAGTATGTCTGTTCCCCTCAAGACTCGAACTAGCTGTGAAGTGAATCTGCTCTTGTTCGAATTTTTAAAATTTCTTATCTTTGCAATTGTTCTGATACATTCATGTGCCTTGCTGATAAACACAACTCAAACCAATTAGTTAAAAGTGCAAATATATTCTGCTGTAATGGGTACAAGGATAGAGACAGCATCTATTGAATAGTTGTACGCCTTTTGACAATCTTTTTAACGTAAGTTTTAATCGAAGAAACAACTAAATATCGTACCTGCCATGCATTCTGTACAGGTTTCTGCAAGAAACAAATGACATATCAACAAAATTACGGTATTCAAATAAATAAAGTTATGTAAACAAAAGAACATATTAATTGCTTTGATTGCTATGCTAATATATTAGAATACTACTAACAAGAATTACCCGGCTTTGCGCAGGCAACGTATTCAATTGAAGTTGGAAATCTGTGATGAGAGGCTTGAGTTTTCGAAAAGTGTTTAACAAATATTTAATGAATACTTCCATGGCGCAAAAAAATAGGCAGTAATACAGTCAAGAACAAAAGATTTATAAGATATATATATATAAATTTCCATAATTATCTTCACGTGCCCTATTTGTAATTGTTTTGTAAATTATAAAATCAATAAACTGACACACGCCTGTCAGGAATAAATATTTTATTCGCACAGCACATCTGAATTGTAGATAATACAATATGCATTAATATATGTATATCTATGCTGAGACATACACACACCTATGTACGTATGTGTATACGCAAGGCAAACAGGTATCATTAAGGTGCACGAATAGCAATTGCAACAAAAACAACAATTGTAGAAATATTTGTTTTTACGAAAACGTGCGAGATTCACAGGATTTTCTTTCTAGTACAGGTTTAACAATAAGTATAGTATGTGAAAAGTCAAGTATGATTATAATCTAGTCTCGAGCTTATCAATCTGTATATAATATTTGAACTTGCCTCCGTTTCGATGACTCTCCCCTCCAGTTGAGCCATTGTTAAGTTTTATATGCGGTTCCACGTCGATGCGTTTGCGAATGTCAAAATATTCAATTCAGTTGTGTTTTTACAGTCCGTGACGAAAATTTGCAGCTCGAACAGAAACTTGTATAGCCGTTGCCATGGAGATAGTTGCCCGAGACACAACCGAACGAATAAACAACCGAAAACCAACTGAAATCATTTTGCGCGTCATCCATGAGCTCAGCTGAACGAGAGAGCTCTTCGTAGCTGACCAATTAAATAAACGGCTCAGATATGGCATTACGTATGACTAATGTATGGGTCTATTAATTGCCCACTGGCAAACATTCAATTCTGGCTGCATTTGATATCGATTTTAAAATATTGTTTTTCGAGTTTAGTCTTTATTTTCTATGCCGCGTAAGCAAATTCAATAAATAGCATTTTTAAATACTTTGCGCCTATTTTATGCATAACACATACATGCAAAATTATTTCAAATTTGTTTAAGGGATATTTGATGTTAGCTGACACATGGTTTTGATACAGAGTTTAATAAGCCTTTTACACATAGCGTTTAAATGAATTAAACAAACTAAAAAGTCTTTCTGTGCACGGCACGTTGCCCTTCCTCCTCAAACTCTCGCTTCGATACCCACATCTTTTTAAAAGTATCCAGCGATGCCAGAATTGAGCCACCCATCCATGTGGAATATAGACGTTCCTGTGGCGCAGCAATCTAGGAATCAGAACCATAAACATATTTTAATATACTATTGCATAATGTAGTCAATCCAATTACCCTGATTTTCAGATCCTTTGCAGAGTGTTTTCTCAGTTCGGAAAGTAAACGATCACCGAAACCTTTGAAAAGCGTTGAACCACCCGACAGTACAATGTTTTGATAGAGCATTTTTCTGAGATCCATATCCGACTTTTCAATGGAATACATAAGCACATCGTGTATTCCTTCGCACTCCTCGCCCAATAAATCTGGTCGGAAGAGCACCTCGGGCGCACGGAAGCGCGCCTGTCCAATTTCGAATGTCTTGCCATCTGGCAATTTATATGCAAACTTTTCAGTCTCCACAGCTTCCTCCTTTTGTGGATTGGTCGCCAAGTAGCAGACCTTCTCCTTAATCGATCGCACAATCTCAAACTCGGCTGTCGAACGGAAATTAAAGCCCTCGCGGCGTATGAGTGTTTTCAGGTAGCGCGTAACGTCCCGGCCGGCGATGTCCACACGCATAATACTGTGAGGCATGGCGAATCCCTCATAGATGGGAACTGCATGCGTCACACCGTCACCAGAGTCCAGCACAACGCCCGTGACACGACCAGTGGCATAACTGATGATATTCAAAGTTAGAAATGTTTGATGTGTATTGAGATATCGAATTTCTTACAGACTGAGTACTGCCTGCATGGAGACAAAAAGAGCTGGCGCATTGATGCCTTCAAAGAAGAATTCAGCGGCCTTTTCGCGATTACGACGCGGATTCAATGGTGCTTCAGTGAGAAGAACGGGATGATCCTCCGTAAAAGTGGCCAATTGTTCCTGTGATAGGCGTACAGCAATGAGTAACTGTTGATTTAAAAGCTATCTTAACTTACTTTACTATATATATAGCTCCATATGCGTTCCATATCGTTCCAGTCCGTCACAATGCCATGCTCCATGGGATAACGTATGCTTAGCAAACCGCGATGCTCCTCCGCCTTGGGACCAACAAAAATGTCGCCCTCCAAGGCACCGGCCATTACCCGAACATGCTTCGGTCTGCCAATGCTAGTGAAATACCATGATTAGCTTGATTCGGACTTGCGTTGTTCTGTAGCAATACTTACTAATTGGGAAACCTGCACTTTGGAATGTGCTCGCCAGCAAAGCCGGCTTTGATCACACCGGAGCCCTGTAAAAGTATTCATTTAATATTTGTATCAGACATTCAAAAATATTTTTGTACACGCAACACACTAGTTGTTCATTTGTTTATTTTTTTTTGCTTTCATTAATTTAAATACAGAGCACAGCATGGGCTCCCGAAGTATTCCCCAGGTTGACATGCTGGGTGTGTCAAAGAGCTTACGTCTTCAGCGCAAACCGATCTTGAAATTCGTGCCGCTAATTGGACTTTCGTGCGTCAACTACAGGGTTCTGGAGGAACTTGATTATTTCTACTTAGATTGTCAGAATCACAGGGATTACTATCGTGATCCGGTTAATAAGATGCAGCGGTCGAAACTATTTGCCTATCACCACGATAATTGTGGCACCAAGCCAGATAGAAATTATGAGGCTTTAATTAGACCCGGCTATTGGGTTAAAGAACGCCAGCCGGTGGTGTATCCGGAGAAATATAGTCAACGCATGAATCTGGGCGGAAGCATACGCATAGATGCCCACTTCTCAAGGAATTCGTCCACGGTGTTCAAACGTTAACTGCACCAAACATTATTTTGTCACTCAATATTTTCGATGCTAAATTTTATGCACTTCTTATTGGGCACTTTCAGTAAATTGTAGTAAAAATCAAGCTTTTGGCCATTAGTCATTCTTCACAGTTGCATACATAAACAGTTGAAAACTTCACGGACAAAGGGACGGGCAGTGGCAGTGGTAGCTTGGCTTATTCGTGTTAGTTGGTGATGTCACTTGTCAGTGCCAGAAAGGTTGACAGCTTATATGGCAATTGCCTTTGTTTGGCTTTATTTGATGTTCTATGCTAGGTTTCACTTACGTTATCTATGACCACAGGCTGATTGACTACGACATCATAGGGCTCCATTTTGTGCGTTTATAAAAGTTTTGCAAATTTTTCCTATTAAATCGCGGTGTCGTGTGCAGTGTGACCGCGTTGTGCATGGGTGAGAATACCAAATAAACAGCTATCTAAAAATACTAGAAATTAATACTGCACCTTTTCTTAACTAACCAAACAGCAGGTTAGAAACAATAATATAGTATATATATAGTTTAGAATCAGCCTGCAGTCACTTGCTCATTAATTACTAAGCTGCGTACCTATTGTGTCTATCGATATTATCGATCGGGTAATCGATGATTTTAGTTTATTTTTTTTGTTTTAACACGAACGTTTTGTTATTATGGCTGCACCAACAAATTCAGAAAAGAATCCAGAGCTGAAGCCACCGCCTGGATTGAAGTCTCTCATTGATCACTTGATATCTGTCTATCCGGATCAGCCGAACCCCTTGCAGGTGACGACACTGCTTAAATACTGGCTAGGTGGCTCCGATCCGCTCGACTATATAAGCATGTACAGCAACAGGGGCCAGGGCGAGGGCGAATCAGAGAGAATACCCCCGCACTGGCATTATGTTAGCTTCGGGCTCAGCGATTTGCATGGCGATCAGCGCGTCCATCTTAAAGAGGAGCACACCACCCGCTCGGGCATGGGTTTTGAGCTGACTTTTCGGCTGGCTAAGACTGATGCTGAGCTACGCCAGCAACAGGAATGCCCAGAAAAACCGCTCAGGCCACCAACCTGGCCTGCAAATCTGCTGCAATCTATTGCGCGCTACTGTTTCCAAACTGGCAACGGTCTGTGCTTCGGCGACAACATCCCTTGGCGCAAGGGTTTGGACGGCAGCACCAATTCGCGCATGCAAAGCCTGTTGGTGGCACAGGATCCACAATTGGGCTCAATTGACACGCCTTTTGGCACTGTCGACTTTTGTCAAATAGTTGGCGTAACCGAGGAGGAACTGGAACAGGCTTCACGCTGGAACGGTCGTGGCGTCTTGAATTTTTTGTCTAAAGACGCACAGACAGGCGGCGATTGGCTGGTTACCAATATGCAGCGCATAATGAGCGTATTCGAATTGTTTCCCGAGACATTGCTTAATCTGCAAGACGACCTAGAGAAACAGGGCTCCGACCTGGCTGGCGTGAATGCAGAGTTTACGTTTCGTGAGCTTAAGCCAACCACAACCATTAAAGAGGAGGTGGATTTTCGGTGCCTGAACGAGCGCTGCGCCAGCGAGGAGAATAATCGACAGCTGACTGAATCACAAATGAAGCGCGAGGAGCCCAGTTTTCCACAGTCTATGTCGATGAGCAGCAACTCGTTGCATAAATCATGTCCGCTGGACTATCAGCCACAGGCGCCCGATTGCATATCGCTGGATGGCATTGAAATTACGCTGGCGCCTTATGCGGCTAAGTACTTGCTGCTGGCCATAAAGGTAGACGCGAGATATTTTTGAGCTACAGTGTATCAAGATTAATGTCTTTGCTTTTTAAGGATCGCATACGTCATGGCCGGCATTTCACATTTAAGGCACAGCATCTGGCCTTGACCCTGGTCGCAGAAACTGTAACGGGAGCCGCCGTCACCGTTAGCGAACCCTTTGGCGTGCTTGGCTATTGGATACAGGTGCTCATACCAAATGATCTAGTGCCACGCATGATGGAGGCCTTTCGCAATGCACAACTAGATGGCAAAACGGAACCCACACAGCGTCTGGAATTCGATTGGCCTGATAAGCACTTTAAGCTAATTGTAGATCAGCCGCCCTGCGCGCTGCCCACGGCCATGTCCATTGAGGCGGCGCCTGTGAATTGAAGAGCGACTGTTTAAAAAGCTCAATTCTTAGTATTATACTTACATATAACTAAAATGAATCTTCCAGTAACACGTAAGTTTTAAATTTTACTTTTAAATCGAATATATTTATACTATAGCATATTATATAGTACACACGTTTGTGCGAAATACATAAAAACTCAAAAACCACTTTGCGTACTCGCATTGTGTGTGGATTTCTTCAAAGGAAGACGCCACAAATGCTTCAATCGGACTCATCTTGTTGAGTTGAAATGTCTACTAATGCTGGGGGGACTACTTTGATGTGTGGCTGCCACAACGGATATGTTCAATTTATAATATACAAAAAAAAAGAACATGTCTCAGTGTTGTCCGTGGACAATAAACTTCAGTTTCTAATTCTGGGAATTGAAATCAATTGAACCTTTTTGGTCGCACAAAATCCAAACCATTTATTGATATGTTAGATACACCAATTGATCATGTGATTTGACTAAAAATAACGGATGCATCCCAGTTCATATAGTTGGGAATATTACGTTTGATTGGAGTGCGTTTGTCTGCTTTGGGTATGTTTTGTTTATGTGTCCATCCTCGCGAGGCCGTTGCCAACGTTACCGCAAAAACAGAAGCAGCCGTCGATTGCTTTTTGTTTACTACAGAGAACGCTCGCAATCTCACGGTGTGTGTGGGTTGTGTGTGTTGTGCGTGTGTGTGTGCTGTGCTTGGTCCGCCGTCTCCGATTAGGCGCCTCGTGAGTAAGTGACAAATTTGTGCAAAAAAAAAAGAAACAGCTCGTGGAAAATAATTGAATTATTTTTCATTCCGTTGCCGGCAACGCAAGCGCTCGGTTGTGTGTGGTTTCGTTGGTTTCGACTCGTTGGCGGCTATCAAAAAGTCTACGTCTTGGCATCCAGTGGCGGCGAAACGCGCCGTACAGTTCCCAAGGGGATCAACAAAACGTTCAACACAAAGTTCGAGTGCATTTAAATACGCTGTAAGGCAAAAGTTTCTAAACCAAATACACGCTCATCTAGTTACATCAATCATATCTAGTTGGTTTATTGCGTAATCGCGTGCTACCTTCGATTTTTGGTTGTGACCCCCCCTGAAACGCACATTTTGGCGCTTCGTCGGACACGTGCGCCCTGATAATGCTCCCTTGCAAATGGGTGCAAACAGAAACCGAAATATGAACAGATTTTACAACTTTGTTGAGCTCGCATATCATTGAAAATTTAGCTGTTTGTCGCGTCGTTGACTTTGGCATTGTTGTGGGCAAATTATTTTTGCATAGTTTTAACTTTTCGTTTGGCTTGTAATGCTAGCCAAAAGTTATTATTGATAAAACATTTCTTGTGGTCGTGTTAAAAGCTTAAATTCTTGCTGACACGATTGTCTTAATATTTATATTTATATGTGTAGGCTTACATTAGTATCTGTGCTTATATATGATGTGTAGAAAATTCCATTAGCCATGGCCATTAAACTTCACCATTTAAATAAGTCGCTGTTCTATGTTCAGTCAATTTCTAAGATATACTACATATATAATAACTAAATGTTGATAAACTGCGTATTTATCCCTTTAAAAAGCAATCTCTATTGTTTCTAAACGATGCCTCATAAGTAATTCGTTCGTCTTAACTGAAAAATTTCAAGACATTATCTTTGAAAGTTGTGAATCAAAAAACATGTGTATGCGCTGGCAGGGAACAACTGGAAGATACCCTGCACTCAGCTGCATCTTAGCACTTGCTTCTACGTATGTACTTATATACGAAAACAGACACACGTAAAAACACAAGTTTTGTACTTTTTTTCTACTGTACAAAAAACGTTCTTAGATAACTTCTGTGTCAGATCTTGATAAAATTTTAAGAGCATAAAGAAGGAATTTAAATATGTTCACATTCCAAAAATAAGGAGTCTTCTATTAGTAGGGATATGGGCGAAGATATCAAATAATGTAACGTTCTTGATTTGCGTAGACTATTCTATAAAATGTCAATATGTTTAACTCTAACTTCTACAAACCAAAAAACTAGGTATTGAAATGAAAAGATATTCTTGTTCTGCATGTAATATTCAAGGAGCTAAATACATTCCAATTTTAAATCGTGACCTCTTCCATTTTCTGAAAGTATGAAAAAAAAAACTGATAGATTGCCTGGGTATAATAAAAAAATGTATACAATACATAAACACGTAGAAACATACAGATATAGTATTCTTATATAACAAAGTATTCATATGTACAATAAATTATTACTTAAAACAATTAAATTTTCAATTCCTTCATTTATTGATTGTCGCATACGGTTTCTCTACCATCAAATGTTCTCGAGCGTTGGAATACTATAAATACCATTCCATCACAAAAGTCTCAATTATAGTTGAAAATGCGCCGTGCAAATAAAGATAATTACAATTAAATCTAAAATCGCGACGGTTTACGGTTCAGCAACTGTTTGAGAACCCGTTCAGCTTGCGCTGCTTAGCCATAAACCGCACAGACGGATCAAATCGTAGATAGTGCCGGAGGCGAGGCGTGTTGTAATCAGTTGAAATTTCAGAAACCGCACGGTTTGACATCCAGCCGCAGCAATGGCCGAGAACGAACCGCTAGACGAGTCAGCCAGTCAGCCAAATGGTCGGATTGTCCGTGCCGAAGAACTTGCCAACGGGCACGCATCGTTGGCCAACAATGGGCAGCTGCACAGAGCCACAGCCAACGGCAAGAGCCAGGCGAATGGCGTCCAACCACACATCGAGGCGCCCTGCTGTCGAGATATACACGGCAAGGAGCCGCCGGATGGCGGTGCCAGGGCCTGGCTGGTAATGGTCAGTGCGTTCCTATGCAACGGCGTCATCTTTGGCCTAATCAACACATACGGCGTGCTGCACAAGCTGCTAACGGAACGGCTGACGGCACAGGGCGATGCGGAGGCCAACAGCAAAGCGGG